GAGAATTTTAACTATTGATATATAGCTGTAGGTGTCATTGCCGAGGCAACAGCAATTATATTGCTATTAGGATATTCCTATTCTTGTTTATTAGCGACTGGAAATCCTTATGTATGTTTTTTTTTTTCTGAACAAAATATCACCTGTATGAGAATATAAAAAGTAAATGTGCAAGAGTTTTGCTTTTCAGTTGGTATCGCGTTTTAGTCGAGAGGACAAGTAGAGATGTTTACCTTTCAAAAGACATGGGAGTCAACCAGTCTTACATCACTTCAGAGATACCAACTAACAGTACTGCTTTCACCATCGGCGATGGTTTGAATTACCATGGTTACAATAACGTACCACTAGAACCCGGATGTACATATAGAGTTTACGTAAAAGTCTTCTCCGTAATATCGAGCGAGGTAATCATAAGCTTGTATCAGAAGTAGATAACCAAAAGTGTCCATCTCGCTAGTAATCTCGCCACCATCAGATGTCCCGATTATAATCTATATTTAGACAACCAATCATAACGCACGCACATATAACACGGTAACTGATTGGTCCTTGTAGTTCCAGAACAAAATGCATGGTTTTCGAAAACAGGGAAAGAGCTCAAACAAAGATGAAGAAAGATTTAAACAAAAGGCGTGCAAAGAAATGTTTTAAAAATGCAAAAAAACGTGATTTGGGCGAAAATTGTACTCCTTTTGAGTTGAAATCTGTTCGAATAAAATAAAAAAAACTTTCCTACACATAGAATTGTAATGAAGGTAATTTAGAGCCTAAATAGCTTGATAAGGGTAAAACTAAGACGAAATAGTTGCCCGAATAAGTCTTTTTGCGTGTCAACCTTTTCAAGATAACGCTGGTTTGCTTTATAAATCTGATGAGTTTGACGAAGGAAATGCCCAATGATTTATTTTCAGAAAAAAGTTATCAGCGACGCCACATTTGTTTCTTTTTCAACAAAGTCACAAGTTCAAGCCAATATGCAAGGTACAGGATTCCCGAAATCACGCCCTTAACATCATCAATACTTGCTGACAAATCGAATATCATATGATGCTATTTGCGAGACAAACACTGGAAAAATCGCGATGTAAATTATTTCCATTAAATTTAAAGAATTTTGGAGACTTACATCATATTTACATCAAATTTACAAACTTTAAATCGCGCGATTTTTTTTCCAGTGAAACGCCATTTGTAATTGTTCTATGATGTTTATATTTCAGTTGATCCTCCAGAATTTCAAATACGTAACAGCAGTTCCATAAACCAAACATCAGCAGTCATCAGTTTTCTTGGCGAACAAAATAAACACAAGGAAATCCGGTAAACGCGTATGTTTTGCATATTTCTTTTAGTCTCCTTCGCTCTTCCCGTCGCCATCTTGAAATGTAACCATGCCTTGTATCAAAGCGAGAGAACCGGTAAGCTTGCAATGATGGAACCTGTACCTCACACAAATAGACAATCTTTCACAGGCTGGTACCTATTACTGTATGCACTCACCAACGACCGTCTCTCTTCGATGCAAAGCCGCGATTGTATTTCAAAACTGTTGATTTAGTCCATGAGAAATTTATCTCGATCTCACTGATCTTTATTACATCGATCGGTGTGTATGGAATGATGAGGATACCAGACCAGAATGGTAACTTTTGCTATAGAGCAGCAGGTGCCATTGCCGGATTCAACAGCAATTATATTGCTATTAGGACTTTCCCATTCTTGTAATTGGCAACATTCCTATGTAATGTTTTTTTTTTCTGGAAAAATAATCACCAGCATGAGAGCATAAAAAGTAAATGTGTAAAACATGTACTTTTCAGTTGGTATCGCATTGCCGTCGAGAAGACAGATAGAGATATTTTCCTATCAAAAGAAATGTGAGTGAACCAGTCTTACATCACTGCAGAGATACCAACTACAAGTTCTACTTTCACCATCGGTGATGGTCTACATTACCATGGTTACAAAAACGTCCCATTAAAACCCGGATGTACGTATASAGTTTACGTAAAAGTGACGATCACAACATTGAATGAGGTAATCAAAAACGCTGGATTGTTAATAAAGCTAATGTCCTTGGATAAGGAATTGTCTAATRATTTCTTTTTCAGGAGAAAAGAGTAATCAGCGACGCAAGATTTGTTTCTTTTACAACAAAATCTATTGATGTGTACGAGAATGCATATTTACAAGGTAATTGAATAATGAATTATTGAGATCAATAACTTATGAGGTAATAAACCGCAATGCTGCAAAGGTTTGTCTAGAGACAATTATCGATTGCTTTATCGCCAAAACGTGTTGCATAGATAGTATCCCAGAAGACGATAAACAGTTTAAAAGATGCTACTTTATCATAAAATTAAATATGAAATACCGGTATTTCTCTATTTTGAAAAGCTGTTATTGCCATATTTTCTTAAGTGAAAATAACACATTTGAGGTTTCTCTAATATTGAAAAAAAAAAAGATTTTAAGACATAGCTTTCCACATAATTATATGATAAATAGAACATCGCATGGTCGCTTTTATCGTGTCGTGTTGAAAATTAATTATCTATTATAATTTTCAACACTCGAAGAATATAAAATCCGTATCTCCGCACGCCCATGACCATGTAGTATCCTCTATGTTTGCGGCATTAAATCAAAGTTATAATATATCATATTTCATTACATAATTAAATCAAAGTTATAATATATCATATTTCATTATGTAAATAAGGCACTTCAGGACCTACTTCCAAGAGTTCTATCATCAAAGAACCATTGGTGATTGGGTTATCCGCCGTTTTGGGAATGACAATCGTCGCATTCATTGTATACATTGTGTATAACACGATGACGAAGAAGAGAAAAAAACAAAGGAATGCCAACAACAATCCACCAGCAATTGAAATCTCAGGTAAATTCGATATATGCTCTGCCAATGACGGATTCCTATTGTATTCATATATCGTAATTAAAAGAGAGTTATCATTAACAATTTTTATACAAAATGCTGCGAAATAATATAAATGCTTGAGAATATGTTAAAAACATCCATAGCGCAAGCTCTCATCTCAGCAGATCACGTCCATTCGACCATTTTTCTAGAGAAACCTCATGGATAGCTACCGTTTCCATAAATAATCCTTTCCAGGGAGGTAAACGTCGAGATATGAATATGAATATGAATATGAATATGAATACGAATACGAATACGAATATGAATATGAATGACATTAGCAAAGCGCTGCAAGGACATGATAAAGTCATTTGCAATTTCACGAGTCCATACAGTCATTGAGTGAGTACAATTCGATCCCTTAATTGGTATGATGGATTAATACGACCCATATAGAACGAAAGAACGTATTGTGATACACTAACTGTCTAAATTTGGCGTTGATCAATATTAAACGATTTACAGCCTTTCAAAAACGCTAGAATTTCCGAAGAAATGTATTGAATGCCAGACTCGCTGCGTCCGGATTTTTCTAAATTCCCATACATTTCTTTGTAAAATTTAGATCTTCTGAAAAGCTGCCAATCGTTCACATCTAATCTGATTAACACTCAACTTACTTGAGTGGATATTTTAAAGTCACCTCATTTACCTTATCTCGCCATCAATATATGCATACTTTCGGAGAACTATGCGTCCGCCATCCTCGAACTTGAATCACGCTCCTAAAGGAATTAAGGGACTGTGCAATATTTATCAGAAAAATCACTAATTTTATGTGCTTAAAGAGAGGGGGCAACGTCTAAAATAACTAGAACTTTATAATTGGACTGAAAAATCAATGCCAGATTCAGTCGAATTCTGTGCTTTTTGGTCAAATACTTATTGAAGTGAAAAACCTCTCAAGCAAAGCGTGCCACGATTTGCGAGAACTCCTTATTCACGAATGATAAATAGATAAATTGAATGGGGGGAGCGTAATTTATTTCGTGTGCGAGAGGGAAGAGCAAATTTGTTGGCTCATTTCTCAACCTGGCCGCGCCCTCCTGATAAATATTTAGCAGTCCCAACATATTGATTCGGGTCTCASTTTTCAAGATGTCGGACACATTATTGTTTCTCTGGTATAAACTCAAACCCAACTCTTTGTTATCAACAGATTTATCAAATGCACATATCAGTGCAGGAGAAACCTCGGACAACCAATACCAGGAACTCAATTTCCCACCACAGCAAAACAAAAAAAGTAACCATGTAACTATATCTTCAATTTTTAAAAGGAAGCTTGGCTTACAACATGAAACTTGATTTGTAGTAATTATTCCTTTTCGTCCTTTCTATGAAAATGATATGGTGATTAAGAGAGAGTGCAAACCTATAAGGGACTTGAAACGGGTAACGCCCATACATTTCTTTAGTACCAAGCGTGGGAATATTCAAAGCTCATTAAAAATTCGAAAACGAACATTATGACCATATTTGCAAAATTCGGCCAAAATAGGTTTTTACTGTAGCGGCTATTTAGAGACAATTTGTCAGTAGAGTGTTTACACTATGACCATGAAATAAAATCTAAATAGTTACTAACAAATCGTTCTTATTTAGTGACTATTAGTCACTATCATTCAACAAAAAGACTAAAAGTAGCAATACATTCTGTGTACACTTGGAAATTGAATACAGTGGAAACACTCCCAATACCCTAGTACAACTGTTCCAGTGATACTCAACTAGAGTTGTTCTCATTAACCCGTGAAATACACTTTAGCGTATTACACTTTATTACACTTTGTCTCTTTTGTTTTCTATTATATTTCTTCTTTCACTTTGACTATTACACTTTGTTTCACGGGTTAATGAGAACCACTCTAATAGTCACTAAATAAGAACTATTAGATAGTAACTATTTAGATTTTATTTTTATGGACGTCATACTGTAAGCACTCTATCAATGAACCAGAATATAGAGTCATTTTGAACCGTCTGTGGCGGGAACAATTACTACTAGTCAGTGTTTAATAGTAAACTATTAGGGTGTAGTAGGCTACCAAAGGGAAAATCCAAAACCGTGTTTGCTTAATTAGTTTGTCGCATGTCATAAGTTAGACTATTGGGAGCTAACAGGGGATAATAGTATTTAATAGTACAATTCCTATTTCACAGACGGATGAAAATGACTCTAAGAAGAATCCACATCTTGATTGCGTTGATACTGACAAATTGTCTCTAAATAACCGCTATTTGTTAGTATTTAGTTTGATTTTATTTCATAGTTCCTGCGTTTGCTCTATTGACATTGAAATGGTCCCCCCATTAAAAAAACAACAACAACAAATTTTCGATATTTAAAAACCAAAAATATGCGCGGGCATTCCCAACGCTTGATTCAGTGTTTATCTTCACAGATGTACTCAGGTTGCCTCACAATTCTCAGGACATCTATCAGTCACTGAGTCCCCAGACAAAGTCTCAGAATAATAATGGTTATGTTGAAGAACAGTCATCATTAGCTTACCATATCTCAAATGCCAGTCGAACGGTGAGTGTCGTTTTTGTCGCGATTACAGCAGGACATCTAATACCGCACATCGGGAGGGGGAGGGGGGAGTTAAGGATAGAGGAATGGGAGAGTATATAGTATAGAGTAAGTATAACCTTGAATATGCAATTTTATTTCATTCGCGACCACTGTTTTGTCCCGTTGCTTGTGGCCATGGCTTAGTATAGTATCGCATAAAGAATTCTGAAGGTCGCGGAGGGTGGTCTATATTTCATATACACCAATTCAGAAGGCGTTGGCGAAAACCTATGGCTTCTTTCGGTTGTGAAATATCTCTATTCGACAACCTTTTTTGAACTAGGCTAAGCATAAAATTGCATTATTTTGCCTTTTTATTT